TGTGTGCTTGCACATATGAGATAGGGGAAAAGAGAGAAGGAGGGGATGATCATACAGATCATGTCGGCATGAAGTGCAAGTGAGCCAGCTATGCCAGTTTTGTGACAAAAACTCAGAAAACATGCATGTAACTATTACAGCTCATAGCAGAGAAAGGACTAGCTGACACTAACAGGATTTATTATTTCCTATGTCTGAGTTGTTCACATTCTTACGGTACTAATATCAATGCCTACATTGTGTAAGGAAAGTAAACATGAAAAAACCCACTGTTTGTTCATGGAAAACATGTTCTGTTTGCTAAAGAGTTTTTCTCATTCTCTGATACTGTATTTCTTAACAGAGAGTACTGGAATATTTTACATCTGTAATATATATTTGATATAATTATATTTTATATCTGATTAAATTAAATGGTTAAAGAACTAAAACAGCAAGATCAGCTTTATACATTTACATCAATAACAAATTTAAGAAATGTAAATTATTATATATAGTAAGCAAATCATAGTATTTCTGATGCTCATCAGCTTTTATGCTTAAGGACTTCATAATGTTGATAACCTTAAAATGATTCAGCTAATAACTTTCTATGAACACCCTCAAACATAAATGAAGAACTTACTTTCATAATAAGTGGGATAACTAAGAAGATAACATGAATCAACTGAGAACCCTGGTCGTGCATCACCAAATATCTTTAAAAACAACAACAACAACAAAAAAAAAAAAAAAAACGGAAATTCATTCTCAGTGACGCCATCAAAATCATGTAAATGTTTGACATTAATCTCACCAAGCTAACTATCTTTTGTCCTTTCCTAAGGTAATATCCTGGTTGTAAAAAAAGAAATCTAATCTATAGTCAAATCACGTAAATATAAATTGTCATTAAAGGTAGTAACCACCTTTAGTTACAAAGATTTTTTCCGCACTGCACCTAATAAAAAGAAATATGGCCAGGAATTTCACTTTACAAAAATGTGCCATCTTAGTGTGGTAAACACATAATACAAAGACTTTTTGTGCTTCAGCTAATGAGAAAAATTCCAAAGAATGTTTCTGTTCAAATGTTTTAACAAAAAGAGTGGAAAAATAACATTATATATTATTAATTCAAAAATCAGAACTGCAACTTTGTGCCTTAAACTTTAATGTCAGTGTTTCATTACCAGAGCATGCATACAAAAAGGCTAAGATAAATTTGATATTTCTTACTCAACAGTTTGTGATTTTCAATAAAAGTTACAACATGTAATACCTTTTGATTTATATATAAGAAGAGATGCCTATGTGAAAATAGATGCCAAAGCTGTTTATCCTTTGGTTGTATAAAATGTGGAATATTACCCCTGCTACAGTTTGGAAATAATAACCATAACGCCTTTACCTTTAAAGCTTTCTTTTCTTTTTTCTAAAAACCACTGCTATAAATGCCGATTTTGGTGAAAAGTAACACACCTTCGACAAGTAGGTGTTTTCATCTGTGTAAATTAGAAGTTGCAGTTCAACACGTGTACAAAACATTACTAGTAAATCTCAGCACACTGAAGTAATATATTTTACTATAGCTGAAGATTTTCACCAAATCAAATTGTGGAATGAAAACAAAGTGGAAAAAAATGGTATCATTTGTATCCTTCTTTAGTTTTTATAAATCGTCTTTTAAATTAGAATGAATATTCCTGCCTGGGCCTTCGACTTCTCATACTATATGTTCATATTGCATTTTTTTATTTGTGAAACAGGTTTTTATTGGTCTCTTGTGTAAAATTGGTAAAAAATGTGAATTTTTTCTTAAGAGACTAAGTTTTTTACATAATGTGATTAAGATACTTTGATTATGGTTCAAACCTCTTGTCTCAAAGGTAAAAACACATTTAGTCTCTTGTAAATGATTTAATTTTTATACAGGAATTCAAACACAATTTCTCAATTTTGTACAAAGACAACCTTGGTCAATTGTAATACAGGGACTTGAAGAAACATAGTGTAGTTTTATATTATTGCCATCGTTTCTTAAAAACTTAAGAGCCACTGCCTCTGTAGAAGCAGCAATTGAAAACAACATACCAAATTGAATGTGGAAGTTACAAATGAATGTTAGTCATTTATGTCCTGCTGTATGTGGTAATACTTTTATTCTTTAACTTTGAAACGTGTGTGTGTGAGACTTGTGTGGCCTAGGGGTGTTACCACAGGACCAAGAGGTCAGGGTCCTAGTAAAATGGTACTGCCAGTATTTTAGATACAATATCTTTTCATTTTGTTGGGGGAATGGCTGCTTAAAATGTCAATTTACCAGACTCCCCCAAAAAATTATTGTACTGAATTGCATAACATTGTACCATAGAGCGAAACAAGTAATATTCAGTTATACAATGGTCAAGATTCAATGTCAAATGTATTGTTCTGAAGCCCATTGCTTGACTCGTTAGTTCTTATCAGACCCCATAACACTGTGACCACGACCCCCTGCCCCTTACTCGCCCCTTGGGTTATGACCCAAGGCCACAGAATCCTGAAACCTATTTCGAAATTATGCAACATCCCCTTTGAGCAGTTGTAACAGGCTGACTTAAGGGCAAAAAGCCCATGACTACGGGGTACATGGGACAAAACATCGCCTCCTTTTACCCTGCCCAAAAGTTACCCAACATAAATAAATACTCAAACAAGATATACTGTTGCAGGTGAAAACTGATTTTGTTTAACAAAAGCAATGCCAGCAAAAGTTGGGCTCCACAAAACTGTGACTTTTGTCTTGCAATTTTCTCCTAACTTAACCAGGCAATCATGTGAAATAATGCATCAATTCAGCTGAGAAAATCATCAGACATTTCAATGACTTTCATACAGGAAAACGAGAATCCAGTGAGACAGAAATTAATTCAAACTCCAATTATGCATTAATGCCATGCATAACAGTATTACCTTGCAAGCACATTAAGCAGTTAACATATTTTTCATAATAATCTAAATTTAACATAAATACAAATCAAAGTAATATAAAAATACTGAATAAAGATAGACGAAGTTTAAATAGATAAATGGATGGACGGAGAGATCGAACAACAAACAGCCAAATATGAGTTCATAAAAATTTTCTCAAAATTATCAAGCTTCTTTTATATTCACAACTAGGGAAAATTTATCATGCTAGACTTATCCATTACCACACCGTGATAAGAAAATTCTTGATTCTTGTGACCCTTACATTACAAAATGTTTGGGTCTCATTCCCAATTTTTTTTTCTGACAGATGGAATTCCACAAGAAACATATGGAAGACGGTCAGGTGAGACAGTTAACTACACCTGCAGATGAAGAATCATGGCCAGAAAGCTGTCTTGTATTGTCTGCACGAACTTCTTTTTCAAAAAAAAAAAAAAAAAAACATGAAATTTATTACTTCTTATATCATTTTAAGAATATCAGAGATTAAATAGCACCCAAAATAAAGATGAGGCAAGGAGATGAAATTCCAGATGAGAGCCCAGAAGATTAGGAAAATGATATAATTATATCAGTACATTATTCGCACTGTAATATATCAGAATATGTGTAACTAATCATTATTAAAAGCATTAAACAAGTCAGTCATCGCCCAAACCCCAAAACCCCTTTCCAAGCTGCCTCCTTTTAACAGGCCTCAAATCATTACCTCATGGATTCTGCTTATGAGAGCAAAAAAAAGCTTATCCATCCAACACTCCACTTGAAAGACCTCCTATCAATTCAATTACCTCATGAATACAACTAATTAATATTTAAAAAAACTCACAGATCCCCCCCCCCCCCAATAACAGGCTACTATCATTAAAGAAAGCATAAGATGTACAAAAGTTAATGAAAACATGAATACCTCACACACCCCCTTCTGACCGGCCTCACATCAATTCCATTACCCCAGGGACACAGCTAATGAAAGTAAAAACACCTCATCAGGCTTCTTCCATTGATACGTCCCAGTGGCCATTGTGTCGGATTTCCCATTCATCCTGGTCATGCCTTTCACTGTGTCACATAAGCGTGTGTGGCTGGATGCATTAACGCACACACCATCACTCAGGCTGGCAGAGATTTTTCAGGCTGATAGCTGTTGGGAGGATGTGATAAAATCTCTATAGGTTGTTTCACAATCAACAAGGATAAAGAAGCAGGAATGTGGCCCAACACCTGCGTTGTTGTTTGGCCAGGCAGAGCGTAATTGTGACCTCAGGTGCCTAGTTGGGAGATGTTCATGTTGAGGATAAGTTGTCCGATTAATGATCATCTTTTTAATCCTACGAAATATTGTGCTTCAAAAGAGGGTGAGAAACTGAGGATTTTTTGCAGCAGTTTAGCCAGTGAGCTTCAATTAATCAAGTAACAGATTTTCCAAGTGTTCAAAGTTCTGGATTCCCACTTTTTTTACACTTAGAACTGACAGAAACTGGATTTAGGATCCGATAAGATTTTTGTTAACATTTTAGCTGACGAGGACTAAAATTCAGAATCTTCTTTTCAGAAATTCATTTGTGCTGTGGAAACAGATAAGGTAGGCCAACATTTAATATTTTTATCAGTAAAACGTCTCCCAATAGTCCAGAAAATAAATGATTTTTATGATGTTAGTCAAATGATCAACACACACACACACACACACACACTGAGAGAGAGAGAGAGAGAGAGAGAGAGAGAGAGAGAGAGGGAGGGAGGGAAGGAAGAAAGAGAGTTGTGCCAAGCAAGTCTGGGTGAGCTTACTGCAAACTCACTGACTCTGTGGTAGAGTAATTCCTATGAAGGCACTTGAAACAGAAGGAACAATATGTCACAGCTAGGATACACACGTCAAAACTACACAATAAATCTTCTCAGAAAACACTCCATCGTCATAGGGGTCGCGAGTGATGTAATGGTATTTTCTTGTCTTATTACTGTTCAACAACTTACATAAACATTACATGATATTCTGTCATTGAATTCCTTTTTGTACTTGAAAACCATTCAGACAATTGAAGTTTTTCAACATTTTTTACACATTTGTCATAGCTGGAGCCTTTTCTTATTCAGTCTATACTGGTTGTTTGGTTAGTTTAGAGATTACACAGCTTTAATTTTCATCATGGATACTCCCCTTACCCCCTATAAAATAATTTTTTCATAACAGGTTTTCATATTTTTGTTTCTTCTGAATCATGGAAGTATACAGGAATTGTTAACAGTTAGATTCTATTCAATAAATGATGAATTAATACCAGTACATTCATACAACAGCGTAATAAAGGTTCTATCATTTATACGAGATCAAAAAGTTCTTCACAAGAGGCTGAAGGAGCTGGTTGAATATCAATGGGGATAATTGTTACATCTTATCCATATCACTGAAAAATGAAATCTTTTCATCCTTTCATTTCATCATGGTCTAGTAATCATAGTACCTGCATCGTACGTCAATGACCGACTGGTGATGGCTTCTGAATGAGAACACACTCACCCTGGGTTTCAGAAAACAATGGCAACTCCCTTCTACATCCTTCTCTCAGCATGCATGTTCCACACACTGGTTTCTACCTTTGAAACTCATGGCATACATACTAGCTAGGCTAAAGGTACTGTCACACTCCACATAGATAGCAATATCCTATGAGAAAAATTGTCCAAACACAGACAAACGCTACGAGTTCATTAGACTTGAG